TCTACAATCGAACAATTTGTGCGATACTTTAGTCAAAGGTGTGGGCACGCTCTTAATCAAGATCTAACCAGAATGTTTTGATAAGAAGATTGCATTTAACAACAAAAATATGTTTTTCTTTTCATTAGTACTGGCAACTGATTGACGGATCTCCTTTGAGCGAGGTCAGGTTTAAAATGGTACAAGAAGCGCTCGGATTCCTCAACACCTTCTTAGAAGGTAAGAAGTTCGCGGTTGGCTCCAACATGACCTTGGCTGACCTGAACCTGGCCGTCACCATAGAGATAATGCGGATCTCCAACTTTAGCTTCCAGCAGTACCCTAATGTAGTCAGGTAAATAATCGAAACTATAATGTATTGCATTTAACCACCAAACACACCCTTTGATGATATATATGCAGTTATTTTTATTCGGGACATCATTTTTTATGGCATTCTGAGAAAGTTGACGGCAATGCATTTGAAGTTCCACTTCGGTTGCGGACCCTCGATGATCGACTCGTTCTTCTCATCGTTTTTTACCCCTCATGTTATTAAAAAAACTAGCTACACCTATAGACTGACGTCAGATGGAGTTAAACCAAATTTTTCAACCATTCTTTCAGGTGGTTCGACCTCGTGAATCGCACAGCGCCGAAGTTCAAAGAGATTACGCAGCGATACGGCAAAGATCATAACGACATTGTAGACTTTTTCAAAGAGGCTACCGCTTTTGAACGTGCAGAGAAGGAACTGCTACAAAAAGGGAAAAAGAAATAATGACGAACAAGTCAAATACTGCAGCCTTATCAAGTAGATAATAATGTTTGTGACAGTGACCTATGTGAAAATAATAGAATTGATTCTTTCATAAAGGCTATACTTATTTTAATAAAGTAATAGATACTGTAATTGTTTTTATTTTTGATCATTTGGCGTCGCCAGCCTTTGATATCTCACTCATGATCACCTCAATGTTCTCACTTTTATTACACACTAGCTTTCGCCCGCCAACGAAAACGAAAACGAAAGTGATGCAATGTGAAGCCGTGTTCTTCTAGAGTATCCTCTACATCTGCGCCAAATTTCATCGAAAACCGTTCAGGCTACAAACGCTAACAAACATCCATCTAAACTTTCACATTTATAATATTACTAGCTGTTCCCGTGCGGCTTCATCCGCATGAAATTATGAAAATTTTATTTTGTTGTTTTCTTTGTCAAATTATTAATAGCAAATGTCAAAATGACATGACAAACCTTAGCAATCTTTCATTCCTAATGTTGGCAGCAACTTATGGTCTTTTACCCACCTTTTGGTTTTTATCCAAAATATTTACCCCCTAAGTTTAATGGCATGAAAACATATAGCCTAAAGCATGATGCAAGTGTAGGTAGTAACAAACATTTATTTACTCTCATCATTTGTAATGCGTCATAATTAATTTGAGAAAACAGTGTTTTTTTTCAATTTACAAGTTATAACTATGAATCTATAGATTCCAACTTCTATAAGAATGAAAAAAACAAAACCGACTTCCAAACAAAATACACGAAAAACAAAACAAAATGCACTAAAAACAAAACAAAATACACCAAAAACAAAATAT